CCAATATTCGAAAAGGTAAACATAATAGCTCAACAGCTCCCACACTCCAGGTGTCCTTAATTCTATTAAATTCTAAAAATGTTTCCCTAACCCTATTTTTTTTTTTTACAAGAATCTTAGAGGTCACAAGTTTAAAAGGGGGGAGGGTGAAGGCTTAATCGGTATTTAAGAGTCACTGACTCATCTAATTCAGATTCAAGAGCAGTTTGCTGCAGAAGGTGCTCCCACACATTAGTTTCCGAGGGAAATAGCTATAAAGGCAGCAGGATGGATGGATGTTCAAGGTATGCTGGTTGGTATGCTGAAGTGAAAGAGGACAGACCAGGGGTCTTCCAGGCAAACGGGTAACTCTTAGTCCACTTCCATCCACCCACATCATTCCATCTCAGGGACGGAAAATTGCCATCCCACACCAACACTTAATACCCTTCCCCAACTGAAAACAGCTAAATGCGGGGGGTGGGGAGGGGTGCTGCCATTAAGTAAAATGGCTAAAGAAATCAGTTATCTCCAGAACGAAATGCACCGAACTCCCCAGGGTTGCAAGCTTTCTGGCACCCAAGTCCTCGAGGGTCTGGGGGAGTGCTGAGAAGAATTGGGGGAGGGGAGATTAGCAATCAAGCTCGATGAGGCGCTTACTCGTTGTCAGAAGTCGCCGTCTCCTCGCTCATCTTTCCCTCACCGTGATCCGATCTGGAGATGGAGGAGCAACAGCAGGCGGGGGAGCAGCAGCAGCAGCACCGAGGGGCAGGAGGCAGCGGCGGCCGGGGGGGCGCGGGGGCAGCGGCTCAGGGGCCTCACCATGGTGGATGCCTCACCCGGAAAGGTGCCCCCCCAGCCGGGAACCCCGGCCACCCCCGCAGGGGGGTGGCGGTAGCAATCTCCGCCGTGGCGACCCCAGCCTCTTCTCCCGCCTCAGCGCCCAGCCAAGGGATCCGAGGAGGCCGAGGGTGGAAAGGGAAAAAGGAATGGGGGCTGCAAAGGCTAACTGGAGAGCTGCTCCTTCGGCCACTGGGGTGGAGCGCGGCAGGGTCCGGCCAGGAAGGAGCAGGCGGGCGGAGAACCCGGGAGCAGAGGCGGCGCTTCCCTCAGGGATGCGGCGAGGAGGAAGCAGAGCTCCGCTCGGTGGGGGCCGGCGGGGGGGTGCCGAGCCCAGGCTCCGGGCGGCGGCGGCGCGGTCCTGCCGGAGCCCGCCCCACCATCTCCCGCCCCGCCG